AATGGTATATGTCATTGTGCATTGTAGACACAATGGTATATGTCACTGTACATTGTAGACACATTGGTATATGTCACTGTACATTGTAGACACAATGGTATATGTCATTGTGCATTGTAGACACAATGGTATATGTCATTGTGCATTGTAGACACATTGGTATATGTCACTGTACATTGTAGACACAATGGTATATGTCACCGTACATTGTACCTTTCTTCAATGTTGATAACGTATATATATATATATATAAAACTAATAAATTTACAAAATAAACCTAAAATCATAACAACACTTTTCTCTAACACATAAAATCTTTAAATGAACCTAATTGTTAATAGGACGTAAATCGACAATATACTTTACTTTTGAAGCGTTGAAGACGGCGGAAGTAAATCTTAATTCGTCGAAATCGCGTGAAAAACCGGATGGGGATGTGCACTTATCCATGATTGCACAATATGCATGATAAGTTCTAACTATGTCAAGTACTTGTGTATGAATAAAATCGTTAATGAACAATATATGTTACGGTAAACTTCGGGAATTGTAACGTCCACCTCCCTGTTCACTTTCTACAATATCATAAAACTTGAAACAGCCGTTTTGTATTTTCAACGACTATAAATTTGAGTTTAGTCATCTTAAACTAACATTATTTGAACATAACGCTACTGGTCGGGGGGAAATCACGGTTGTTATTTCCTACTTGTATAACGAAACAAAATGCAAAAGGAAGTCGATGTTGACTTTATTAAATAAAGAACAAAGATAACTAAATGGAGCGGTGCAGAGTAAGTATATATTTCGTTATTTTTAATAATAAAATGTCAAACTCGTCAGTTCGCTGTTTACTCTGGTCGAAAATCCAATAGCTTGGTAATAAAACTTAATTCTTAAGGTCACCTTGCAAACAGGAATTTCTATAAAGAGTGCACAGTCCCTTCAAGTGAACACGCGATTTCACAAATTTCTGTTGGTGATATCAGAGCCCATTCATAACAAAGAAACAATTGTAATTGTAAACAACATGTAATTAGTAATAATAGATTTATAAAGCAACAGACTGGTACAATTGTTTAGCGGATTGTTTGCATTACCAGTTGTTCAACCAGCTTCAAATGAGAATAGGCGTTTAGCGGGACACGAACAGATGCATTACATATCTTAAAAAAAGAAAGAGAGAAAGACACAGAACTTTCCTGGTCTCATCTGATATGTTCAATGTTCACTAAGGACTTTACATGGATTTCCCCAAGGTCGTTTAAGCTGTACGTTTTCATGAGTCGCCGTGTAAATGTGTGTTTAGTTAAAATAGTTTGCCCTAGTTTTACTGAATTTAAATTTGGATTATGATTATGTGCGGATGTTAGTATTTTCTTGTTGATTTCTTACTCAGTAGTCATAGCAATCTCACCTTAAGTGCTATGTGGTAACTCAATAACACACCAGTAAACGGTTCGTGCAATTTCTTGAAATAACGTATTTATGTCAGTAATAAAGTATTCCAATGTTTTCTGTTTTCCTATTTGTACATTTACTTTGAAAATAGATGTTTGTTCATCTGGTAAAGGACTACGTTAGTTTATATGGTTATAAACACTTTCATATCGCGGAAGATTAATTTTGAGTTAAAAGTCACCAGCCGTTGTGTTTACATTTTGCAATTTCATCTTTTCAACTATCGACGTGATATATGTTTAAATACTGTGTTATCAGTGATAACTGATGGTTATTGGGCTTCAATGTTTGGCAAATAACCTGTTAAAAAGCAAAAATATGTTTTTAATGCTGGTCGGTGGCATACATGACAGTCTACAGCCCTGTCCTCCGTTGGTGTTGTCAGGGATTCCGCTAGAATTATGCTCGAGGTCGCACATTAACCTTGACCGTCAGGTGAACTATTGGTTGTCCGTGAGCCGTTTACAGTGGTGTATTGTGACTGTTATGGAGCTACAACTCTGATAAAAAATTAGGATAGAATAGGATTCGACATCCCAATTGAAGCATAAGATTTTCTGTTGTCAAATTGGGTAAAAATATCGATTACGCATTATAAATAAATATATAAATGATTAGATTTGAGTTCAACATCACTGACGAGTCCTAGAATGACGAAACAGCTGTATAATGCTTGCTACTTCAATGTTTGGCTCTACGGCATCCTATATAAATTTGTATGTAAAGGTAGTATTCACATGTGTGTTGTACAATCTACTGTCCCTGACATTCCTCAACTCATGTGGTAATTTCATGACCACTTCCCCATATATGCGAAGCAAGTGTGCGTGTTGAATGTTTGTTGGAGTTTTTGGTTTATAAGTCTTCTGTGCTAGAGCGGAACTAAGCCCGGTTCAGAGTGCTATCACAGTCACCTGTATGTTATCGTAAAAGGGACAATTGTGGTCATGATCACTACAGATAAATTGTCCAATGTAGTCTGTTGTTACCTTTTGGTAGCTGTAAGAAAATACTCCTGAAAAAAAGACTAAAATATCGTTTCCATTTCAGTCATTCAGTATTTATATTATCCTTCATTGTACAAGCACTGGTTTATGTAGATATTTTCACGTGTTTAACGGAATGGTATTGAGATGCTGGAATCTATCCATTATTAGTGATGTCAATTTTCAGTTTACAAATTATTTGATACCCTTATGATTAGAGTAAATGAAGGAAAACCTGCCTCCACACTTTAGCAGGACATCCTATTCGGTCACTTAATATCCAGTCGCTCCACATTACTGAGTTCCTGCACAAAGAACAAAAACATTTGAGACTGTGAAGTGTGTCGATTGCGCTGTAAGTAAGAGTCAAACGCCTGGCTACATCGCGCGAAATTTGTGATAACGAAATAAACTTCCGCAACTCTGATAATATCAAACTATTAACCTAAAAATACAAGGCAACAATGGTACACGCTACAATATGAAATATTCTCTGTCCATATTCCGTTCATTACCCGTGTTATACATGTGTGGGTGTTTAGTAAGTGTGAAAGCAAAACCCGGCGTCTGCTTGCAACAACATTGGTTTGCTTGAATATAATGTATACACGTTTAAGCCTACGACGATATCGCTACAGAAGGACGAGACGGCTCAAATAAAGTACGTGTCCATGATGATATGTCCGTGCCTCATATTGTTACGATGATCTGGAACATAGAGTAATGAATTAGAAAATGCAAACAAGATGAAAATGTCAATTATTACATCAACTTTGGTTTCTATTTTCTCAATAGAATAAAAAGATAAACAAATAATTTAACATTGCTCAGAAATAAAGGATCCTATCGGGGTGTCTGTGATAATGAATTCTATATTACATCGGCACGTAATAGTCTGAAAAAAAATCGACAACTCGCAAATCAATCTCCCTGTAATACAGACTCCTATCAAAGTGGTCGGTATATTTTTCACATTTTAGACAATCATGTAACGTCATCAATATCTGCCATATTTATGACGTCACAAAAGTGTTTGTACGAATGTGTCTTCACGATAACAAGGCGGTAGACCTACATTCTAGACCGTAGATCTTATATGATCATCAACTTTGAATATTTCACTTTTAGTCAAGCAGCCGTATCGAAAGACTGCTCACACGGGCACGACATACCTAGCTGGGATAAAGATATGTGATGTTAATCGTCCATTAATTATCGCCCCAATATATCCTTATAACGACTGTTAGTGGGTCAATCTTGATTGCACAAATTAATATATTTCAATTTCTACCCAAATCAGACTCAATGAAACTACTAAATGTGATATGTTTCATTTACTAATGAATTTGACCAGATTAACATTGCCAGTGCGTATGAATACAAATATTAGGTAAGGGGAGAAATCTCTCCAACTTCTACTACACTGGCAATATTCCACAAGTATGAAATTTAAAAAACATCAAAATGAACATTTAATTCAACATTTAATAACTGTAACTTTACGTTTCAAAAGATGTGAAGCGACAGAAGCCTGATATTTCTTGCTCTCCGCTTCGTTTGCGAACCGGCGCACCACCTCTAGACGTTATTTCTCCGCGGGGAAAATGCATATTGTCTTTGTTGCACACTATATATTTCAACCTGTCACAATAATCTGTCTTCAAATGACAGACTTTGCTTGTATGACGTCAGACGATATGATGACAGGTAACGAAAATGAAAGTAGAAGATAAATTGCGTCAGTTCCCATGCTATAGAAAACAGAAGCGTGAATTGAAATATAAGGATTGAATCTTGCTTATGTCGATTTTATGTGATGATGAATTGAGTTTGTCTTGAGACAAATTCAACATGAAGTGCTTCGCAGTTCATTAAATTTGTCTTAAGGCCAACTCAATTCGTCATCCCATGAAATCTACATACGCAAGATTCAATCCTTAAATAAAATAAGTAGCACCCAGGAAAAAACATAGCATTACAATGCAGCGGCGACTGATTAAAATACGGTGCAAAAACAAATAAAAGCATGATAGTCTGTGAAAGTTCCCATCCGATTTCTCTTGGGTTACTATACTGAATAAAGAGTTCATTAGTCTATGTAAATTTATACGCGTTAAGAGGAACGTTAGCTATGCACCATTGTGTTAATTACCAATGTCGTGTTTGTTCGCACTGTACTAGAATTGACAGTATATAGTTAATGCTACCTATATCCATGTTTTCGCACAATGAATATCATCTCTACATGCCTTTATGTTTAGGTCATTTTGATACATCAAATCTATCTTATCGACTTTGCGATTGTTCGCTGCAAAAAAAAAACTTGTGAAATTCTACTATTGTACAAACAATATATTACCAAGATATCTTCTATAACCTGATTGCCTTGCCCACCGTTCTTTCCTATTTATAGCTGTAACATACCCAACGCACGTATAGTGAACGGTTCATCACACGCCGGTAGTCTCAGCCAGCTGTTCACGCTGGTTACTAGTGTGACTGCTGAATAGGAAGGAAAACGGCTTTAACACGACTAAGAGTCAGGAGAAATCTTCCCGACCACACATATGTAGTAAGTACACTTTTATAAACACATATACTAAGTATCTGTAGAATAGATAAACTATGAATAAAACCTGGCAAAAAGCGTTTTGTTCAAATAATGTTAGAATAATGTAGAAATATGACAATTTGTAATAGATATCTAATTGTTTAGAAACTAATAAGCTGTAATGTTGATTTACTCTAGGTACATGTTGTATCGCCATTTTCTTTACGTATGCGTTAGTAATCTATGTGATAACTTGGCATTCATCCCATTTATCTTCCGTCCATTTTGGAAGGTACATGGTAAGTTCAAAAGGGTTAGATGGTGTTCCTGTTACATTGTGTTTTGGCTACTGACTGGTCAGCGGGGCTTTGTCCTGTTCATGATGACCGGACAATCCTTAAGTCATTGACACCCTTGACATCAGCATGAAATGGTATTAATATCTCAATAGACTGGGTCATAGTGCTTTGCTGTAGCGAAGCGGTCAGTTCCGATTTTATGTCTAATGATTTCAAATTGCTATAACGCTAAAATATTTGACATGATTTGAGTTGAGGTCTACCAGTACACAAACAGATTTATAATCGATATCATAAGGAACGCAATTGCAACACTACTATTGCTTTATACATATTGTATACGTTTTCTCAAATTACGTTTATCATTGATAAACCCAGAATGAATAAATATAGAATAGATAATAAATAAATTCCATTTATATTATATAAAAAGTATATACAATCACCAAAATATTCCAAATTGTTTTTACTAACGTCACATATGTTATGTATGCTCGGTCAATAGGTCCCGCTTCCACTACAAAGTATAGACAGAGTACATGAAAAAGAAAGTTGCACTATTATCTGCTTATATTACCTGACGTAATACTACTATAAAATGCACTGATAAAGTTTCTTATTGTGGGGAGGGATCTCATTTACGGTATTCTGCTGTTTTGTGGCACAGACAAAACTTAAAAAACAGAAATACATCAGCTGATGCATTATCACCTATCAACGCATTCTATATATGTAATCGGATGGGACACAGCAGGCCTCTGTGTATACTTTTCAAAATTGTCGAAAGGACCTATAATGGATATTTTAAATATTTCTATCAGATTTCGCCGGCTTAATCGATATGACATTATGTTTTCCTGAACAGCATTTCGATCCAATGATATTTATAAAGGAGTTCGCATTTCAAACTTGTTCAATTACACCTCACGGTTTTAACCAATTTCTTTAAAATCTTAACAGAAGATTGTGTTTTCGCGAACAGTACTGCAGGGAGTTATTTCCCTTTTTCAGCTTTTCAGTCGCGGTGATTTTTTATTTCACTTTGTTTTAGTTCATCATCAAATCACAGTTTGCCCCCTTGGTAACTTAGCTCAATGTTACCATTGACATGTTTGTATTCAATCGATACAAGATATCGTGCACATTTTCGTCTGGTTTTAAATATCTATTTCGACATATTTAGATTTTTTCATCCGTCATCTAGGGTTCGTTTCGACGATTAAGGAAATCAATATCACTGACAAGTCCCAGAATGAAGAAAAAAAATAGGTAGTTTATTTCATCATATAGTGACATCCTTTTGCGTGTTTTTGTACAATTTTGACACGGCAAAATACTGTCAAATCGTGCCATATTTATCGATAATGGTTTAAACGATTATGATCGAGAGTTTGTCAAAAGTTGTATGTAAGCTGTCACTGTTGATTTTATTATGTTTGATAATCTCGTTGTAACACGTCTTGGGTATTGGTTGATTGTCAAATAAACGGGTCAGCATTATCTTCACAACGCTAAAGCCGTGTAGCAGTGGTGCTATTAAGCATTAACCACGGTTTAAATTACTTTATAACTGCGAAGCAATTTTCAGGCTGTCTTAGTCTTCAGATCAGTACTTGTTATAACGAAGTGTTCAGAATTTTGCATCCTTATGGTTGCTCTATGGAGGCATGTGATTTAAAGTTCATATAGGTATGACACCATATTAGGTCTGGACTTACTTCTGAGGAAGTGATTACGAAATACTTGTTTTATACTGATTTCAAATTGAGCATACCTCTGATCAACTGTTTGTCTATAGTTCAACCACTACTATGAGATGCATGTTGTTGTGATAGATATTACTACGACAGAGTCGTGTGTAACGACATTATGTTTTTTTATTCAATCGTGCGTTGCAACATGCGTTACAACAGTTAATTTATCATTGTGGATGACATTTAACGACTAACCCCAATAACATGACTCTGTTTGTTGTAATAAATACCTCTCCAGTTGAACGCTTTTTATCCATACGATATCGCGATTTCCTTACGGGATGATTTGTCCACCAGCAGTGCGTCCGAGCATGATTACGTGTAACAACCTCTCCCAGCATATCATATGAATTTGTAGAAGTGTATTTATTCATAGCTACATGTAGGTGTTATTGAATTACCATCCTTAGACAGTTCCTCTAATTGCGGGCCAATATACCAAATTTCTCTTTATATTTGTTGTGGTTTCAGTAAATGTATTCAAATATTTATAAAACCACAAATGAATAGCACCTTTGGTTAAAAATTAGAATTGCATATAGCAGAGCCAAATAGTGAATGAAAACTGCACCATGTAGATGTTGTGTCCTGGGACACAGTGATGATAAACACGTAAAAACTGATTATCCAGAAAAAAACAATAGTCTTCTCCTACTTAATGCTGAAATCACAATTAATGACAGACTGAATAGTCAACGAGATTATATTACATGATGATTTAGACCAGAGTCATAAAGGAAACAAAAAAGAACATGTGTTAAGGGCATATGTCTATGACGCGAAAGGTCTTTACTGACGCCTTCTTGTGATGGTGTGAAGCTGATGCCGACTTCATAGTGTTACCAAATTGAAGCAATCAACCAAGGGCACCGGGAAGGACACTGATCCAGTCACGAATTGAAACTTGTAAAACCACTAGTAACACTATCACAATGTGAAGAGTTAAGCTAGAAGTGACTACCACTTTAAAAGACTTGAGAAAGTATCAAGTAAAGGGACAGTATGTAACGTTTCCTCGTCGGCAATTGCATAATAAAACCAACAGTGGTACATCGTCAAGTCAAGATCAAGGAAGACATTTTGGAAATCAAACTTTACGGATCTGGCCGGAGCCACAGACGGTACAATGCTTACATTCTCTCTATCAGAGCAATAGTAAACTGACATACTTATATAACTGCAATGTGTGAAGCATGGTTGTATGATCAATACAAACCCGAACTTCTCGTCTTTTTGATGATGTTTATAGCAACTAAGATATAGGTAAGCAAATGACGTCAGCATTTATCTGACTATAATTGCTCATTAGAATATGAACTATTGATAATTCGATGTCAGGTAGTTTGTGTTTTATAGCTCTTTTAGATGGCTTTCTTAGGCAACATGAATAGATGGTTCTAATCACCTGATCCTAAACCTTGTATCTGTATTCTGTAGAGATTTCATACATCCAAGTGCTTTTAAGGTCATCTGTCCTAGCTTTTGTTGTATTACTTTAATATATTGTATAACCTTTAATAGTCTTCTTCTCTGCTTCAAGAGGTTACTGTATGCCCCTAAGGTCACAAAATAACAGTTTCAGATAAGCCTACACCAAACACCTCTCAGTCCATGCAGAGTACGTTTGTATTTTATTCTTCTATATCCTGGTCTTAACAAGCTTTTTGTAGACATTTTTACGGATACAAATTGTGTGAAAAAATATCTCTCTTATCAGCAGCTGTCATACTTTTATATTTTATTTAACTGTGGTATTGCCTCACAATAGACACGGCTACCTGAATGTGTAGTAGATCCATAACATACAGGTAATTACTACCACGACGGGATACATGGTTCCCTAAAATCCGTCCGTCGGTGGCTAAAAGAATATGTATACAGTATTTTATAACTACATAATATACTTATTGTCCTTTTAATTCCTTCATTTGAAACCATCCAGTTCAATATATGAATATATGTTTTCATCGATAAAGGTTTACTGTGAAATGAAAGGTTACGCTTCATCAAGTTTGTTGCTATATTTGCAAATTTCAATAATGTTATTCACTGACGTCTATTTATGACAAAATTTTATTTTTCTTCTTCTCATTCAGATGAATGTAAACCAGAATCCAAATCTTCTTTGATAGCCATTTTGATTCGTTAACCTCGCAATACCATGAGAAAATCAGGTGGTAGATGAGAAGGGACCTGCTGAAATGCGTCGTACCGATTGTTCGGCATATGCATTGCAGTTTTATTAATCAAAAGTCGTGATAAGACTCTGTAAGACAAATCACGTCTCGAAATACATTGATAGCGCATCACCAAGGTGTAACTTTACCTTAATGGCGAAATTCTAGTAGTTTATAGTGTAGGCGTTAGGGACAAAACATCTGTTTTCTTTGTTACACGATACATTGCCTCGCCAAGGTTAACTATGTACCAAGTATGACATTCTAGTGACTGTAAGTATAGAAGATTGTTGCAACACTCGAGTGTATAGCACTGTAGAAAGTTAGAGTGAAGCCAAACAATTAATGAAATAAAATCTCTGAATAAAGTCAAACGTGTGAATGTAGGCCGTAGTGACTTGATACACAACACAGCGAACCGATACCTCTACCTTCAACTGACTGTGACATGTAATCTACGAGATAAAGTTGAACGGACGGAAGGACTGAAAGACGGGAGGACAAGCGGCCACAATGCAAAAGTATAGTTTCCCCGGTTCCCGAAGTAGGACTAAGAAATGATTCATTATGAACATTGTGATCCGTGGAACAACCACAATGCTAACGTCATGATGCGTATACGCTGGTTAGAAATTGAAATATAAAAAAAATGACAAAACTTTCTTGTTAGTGTTTATATAGTGTAATTGTGAATATATAAGTATAATATTTATCTTTATTTACGCAGTGGTACACTAAGATGGTGCTATTTCAAAAAAAATGTGCTGTTGTTATTATTTTTGCTATCGTGA